GGGGGGGACGACTTAAGCCACTCTTCTCACGCTTGAAATTTGTGTGACACTGCACATGTCTCTTTCTACCCAGTCTCACAATCCGAGAGGCTGGGACCGTGAGAAATGCATCGGCCACCGGTGTGTTCCATATCGTCTCCAACTTCTCAAACCTCAAAATAGTTTCCCACGAGCGCCGTCTCAGCTCTGGAGTTCTCAAATTCCCGGGAGAACTTTCGCTTGTCCCTCGTAATGATGTCGAGGATTCCAGCGTCATGCTGAGTGCATGGCCGGTAGCATATTTCTCCGCGCTTCCGCCTCTCGACGCTGTCTTTCTGTCTCCTTTTCGAGCCTGATTCGGGTGGCCTCGGTACCGTCATCTGGTGGGAGGTGCTCTCGGAACCATTCGTGCTGAAGGGCTTCCCTGGCGGTGATACGCTTGTTGGGGTCATATGTAAAGATCTTTTTTAGAAGATCCAGGAACAGAGAAAGGAAGCGACTATTTCTGGCAGGGATGATTTCCTGTGCATCCTGTCAGCGAGGCGTCCAACTCAACAAGGGATCCGGTAATACTGACATCGAGAGACTTCATGCCCTTGACGAATCTCTTGGACGCACGGGTGGTGTCGGGAGCAGGGTAGTCCAATTTTGAGCGCTTGAAGAACCTGTAAGTTCGATGGCCGCGATTAGTCTGGTGAACATGCACAGAGGAGTAAAGGGAAGCACGTACTTCGCAGCCGGATTGCCACCATTCCTGGTCATCCTGTTGACCTGCTGGACTAACGCAGGATCGATCTTGTGGTTCACCACTGCCTCCATCATTGCCAGATGTTCCAGGTTATCGTGCGTCTGGAACAAAGCGTCACCTGTGTAGAACTCTACCAGGATGCAGCCAATGCTCCATATATCACAGGGGAAGGACCACCCCAGACCGAGAATAATCTCGGGCGCACGATAATGTCTAGTGCTCACAACTGATGAATGGTATTCGTCCTGGAATGTGGCGGACCCAAAGTCGATGAGCCTGATTTCGGTGTCTAGAAGAACCTTTCTATGCACGGCTCGGCGGTTGGTGAGCGTTGAAGATGACGGAATGGTGCGGGAGTAGGTAAACGTCTGATACTCTTGGTTGCAGAGCAAGATGTTCTCGGGTTTGAGATCGGTGTGAATCAGGTTGAGGTCGTGCAAGACTATTTCCCGTTAGTACCCCCCCCAATAATACAAAGAAAACGAAAAGATGCTTACAAGCGACGCTGGTAAACAACTGACGAGCAAAGGCCAGGATTTGACTGTTGGGGAAGGGCACAAAATTGTTCTCCTTCAGGAAGTCAAACACGCTCTGCCCAAGCAAATCCATGACGATGCAAATGTGGCCACGGAAATCGAAGCAGTCCCGCAGATGAATGCAACGGTTCCGATTCTCCTCGTCGTTCGCCTTCAAGGTTGCCAGCACCCGCAGTTCAATCTTACTCGCGTCTCTGTACTTCTGTACGGAGCGGATGATCTTTACCGCGACAAGCTTATTGCGCCTCTTGTCCTTTGCCTGTACAACTTTGCCGAAAGTGCCTTGGCCAAGGAGCTTGATGATTTCGTCTGAACACTCATTAGTTTGTTAATTCCACTCGGCAGATGGCCACAGTCGGTGAACCTACATCTATCGGTAAGATCATTGCCGGGAACCACAATCATATGACCATCATCATCGTCAACATTGTTTCCTCGATTGGGCGAAGTCTGTAAAAAGCCTAGTCAGAAAGTGATCACACCAGCCGACACTCCGTGGTTTAAACTTACGTCTGCAATGACCTTGACATGTACTTCACCGGCCTTCTTGGGAGGATATGGAGGCGGTTTGTACACGGCAAAGGTATCGGCATGAGCCGTTTCCCGACGCTTGGCCTCATTGGCCTGCTGTCGGGTTAGCTTCCTGCGTTTTGCACCCGGTTGTGCGTAATCATCGTTGTAACTCTGCGATGAGAGAGAGCCTAGCGAAGTTGCTGTCGTGGTGTTCTGGGCCGAGTTTGTTCTATTGCTAGTAGCCGCGGGGGAGTTGAGCGAATTGGAAGCGGACGGTAGCGAACGCGGCGCTTGGTTCTGGGAAGGGACATATTGGTTGTGGTGGACGGGGTCGTAATGGTCATTTGGCCTGGACCTCTTAGCTGTCGGCTGAGATGGAGCTGACTGGTTCGTGACGACCTGAGCGCCATTAGACAGTGTTTGAGAGGCCACGCTCCTAGTAGCCGTGCCCTCGGGCTCTGGAGTGTCATCAATCACAATTACTTCCTTAGGTAACCCGTTTATGTAGAACTCTGCCCAGTTGGTCTCTCCGCGTTGCCTCTTCCTCTTGTTCTGCTGTGAGGCGGGCTGAGACGCCTCAGGGTTGGGAGGTGTCGCCATGGCTGTATGATCGGGCCCAGGTTGGAGGGTCAAACGCTGGGGAGGAAGTTGTTGAGACAGACGCGGGTGAGGGGGCGGTAATGTTCGGGTGATGGGCTTGAGAACGACCGGGTTTGCGATCAGAGGCGGCGGCGGGTTGACTGGTGGTGGTTGGTGGTCGACGAGCGAGTACTGTGTCGAAGGAGAGTCTGGAAATGGTTGCCGTGACGCTGTGGGCGACAGAATGCTGGGGAGATTGGTAGTATTCTGGGAATAAAAGGAGGAGGCGCTGTTGGCCTGGACGGGATAAGGCTGGTGATGATGCTGATACGATGCAAACTGCGGATGGTACCGGTCCGAATAGGAGCGATGCAGCGTAGCCGTGGCGGTTGTGGGCGTCGACATGGTTTTATGCTACTTGGGTTGATCGCGATTCCTTCTGCGTGCAGAGAGGAGAGTTGCCGGCGACCGGGTGAGTTGTGCGTTCTACCAGCAGTTGCGGTCGGGGTCCTTGCGCGCGCGACGGGAGACGGGCTGACGTGATGGAAGGCGCGCTGGGAGGGGAAAGAAGGAGGAAATGGACAATGAGTCGAATGGGTCGGGGCAAGGCCCTTGGAGGGGGGAATGGATGGTGGCCCGGGCCGGGGTATTTTTTTCAATTTGAAGAAGGACCAGAAAGAGGAGGAGGAGGAGGAGGAGGCTTCAATGCAGGTTTACCGGGAGATGGTGGCCAACCTAGCTGAGGGCTCTTCCGATGGGAGTGGAGGGCGACCTTGTTGCTCCCGCCCGCTGTTGAATTGAGCCTGTCGAGGTGTGCGTGAGTCGTAGGCGTGGTAGCCCGTGGTAGGCGTTGCCTTGGTGAACACGGGGGATTGTGCTGAGACGTGGTAGGCGTTGCCTCGGGCAGCTGGAGCGCAAAGGTGAAGAAGTGAATCCTTTTGCGTCTGGTCGTCGCAACCTGCCTGGTGTTCTTGACCTCGGAGGAAACTGAATTGTACGTTGTTGCCCGTTCTCTGACTGAAAAGGCGTTTGTTTCAGTCGCGATCGCAATCCGTCCGTTGGCGAAGTTGGCACATACAACAACTCTGGAGAAAGAGTCGGTGGTGATGCGCTGTATAGTCGTGGTAGGAGAAGGAAGCAAGGGCGAGTCAAATAAAAAGTCGAGTGTGTGTTGTGTCACGAGCTTGTGCTGCTGAAAGGCAACTTCAGTGAGTGGATGGCAGCGGCTGCTGAGTGCTTGGGTTCGGGCGGAAAGCGGAGAGTCGAGTTGGCCTGTCTGGGGGCTGTCAATTTGACCATATCGAGGTTTTCAAGCCAGGAGCTGCGGCAAGTTTTGACATGCGAATATATGAGGGACGGAAGGAAACTGCTTTTTTCCGTTCACCAGTTGCAGGTTTGTAGGGTGCCAAGGTTTGGATAAGGAGGAGAACAGTGACGAACAAGACGAGAATCACGACGGGAGGATGTCGTAACTCTGAATTGGCCCCGGATGGGGGAGGGGGGGGCGTTTTGGGCCCTTTGGGATTGGTGTTTTGGTCGTGTTTTGTAATGATAAAAGATTCAAGGTACCTAGATCATTACAGTATTACAGGTGCTGAATTGCCAGAATGCGCGACGGCCGGGTAGGCTAGGCCGTATCACGCTACGCTACTGTAAGGTAGGTACTTGTGGTTTTGGACTTTTTGGCGGCGGGGGCTTGTGTACCTTAGCTTTGAAGCGTATTGGGATCAGGTCGATCCTACAACTCCAAGCCCTGTCGATATAAAAATAGGGCCCTAGATTGAATGGGTTTGGACCTTGTGAAGTCCTACCTCTAGAATAGAGGTAATGTGTCGGATGAGGGCACAATGAGGTTGTTTGGTGTCGTGGGCGATATGTGTAGTCCGATGCCTACAGGTACTCGACGATGTTAGTGCAATGCGGCGCGGTGCGATCAACACGCGAATATTGTACGGTATCGACACTAGCACTGTCCAGCGTGGACGCCACAGGCAACTGAATGGACAACTGAAGTCACAGACCTGGTATGTGGATTGGGGAATGGTCCGCACTTGTAAAGACGACGACGGGGGAGTGTACGTGCGCTCGTTCTTACCTAGGACCGTGGCACCTCTGGGCTTTGGTTCACTTGGTCAACTTCGGTTTTCTTCTCTCCTCTCTTCACTGTCTCGTATCTCTCCTCTTCAATGGTGTTGGTCTGGGTTTCTGGCGTCTGCATTCTTCGTCGCTAGTTTTGCTGCCCTCTTCCTTCTTCTCATGGTAGAGAGGCCTCAACAAGGTCCTGGAATTTTGTTAGACAGAGTATAATCTGCCGCTCGTGCAACCGGGCTCTGGTTGGTCTTCAGTTGAATTTTCTTCGTTGGAACTGTCCTTTCCCGCTGGCATAGCTGCCACGTTCGAGGTAGACGTTTGATGATTTCCTCTTGGAAATAGAGTTGGCCGAACTCAAGGAGACCGGCCTTTTTGCTTTCGTTCTCTGCCGTCTGATATCACGGACCGTTGTGTTAGTGCTCTGCGCTGCCAAGGGTGAGATGGAGAACATCAGATTAAACATACCGGACAGAAGAAAGATAACAAGCGAATTATGGAAAACCCGATGAGGGCCAGTTCCCGTGGAACTGATTCAAGCCTTGCGACCAAATCAAGGCTTGGAATCACGATGGTAATTAGGGCTACTTCCATGTTAGGCTAGCAGCTGGTTCTTGAGGAGTCCATGGGGGTTTAGGTTGGTCTGAGGGTAGGTAGAGAGAGGCAGGTGTTGTCGTGGGTTCGAACACCCCGTTTTCCGTCCAACTTCAGTGTGACTGAAGGTTGAGGAAATTATTTCTCTGCTCTTTGGCATGGGGTTCCCCTTCTTATATAGGGATCATTTTCGGCGTCGGATGCCGGTTCGATGATATGCTACAGCGGAATTCCGACACGCTTGATGTATTTCATGTCCGCAACTCAAGCTCATGGCCCTCAAAGTTGGATAACGTAAAAGGCAGAGCCACCAAAAGTGCCAATATATGCGAGAGACGCGTTCAGGCAGTGAGAAAGCCCTGACAGCTTCGTTCCTTCAGTTGTCATGATCACAGGCTGTGACTCTTTCTGCGCCTAGAACCAAGGTAAAAGCAAGCCCTCGGCGTGATATCATGAGACACTGAAGGCTTCGCAGCATCGATTTTATGATCCAGAATCCTGCTTTGGCCATCTTACATGTGGGTTGTGCAATTCTCCTCAACGCCTTATGCAGACCTGTGCATTGAAGGTACACATGTCAACCTAATGGCGAGTCTCGTACATAGAGCAAGGGATTGAGAACACGTTTTGTTTCCTGCTGCTACCATTTCCACAAGGAACCTGACAAGACAGAGTCATAAATGTCATATACAGTACCTAATTTTGCAGTCAAAATTGTTGCAGATCCGGAATCGTGAGCCTTGTATTTAGGGAGGGTTAGAGATACTCATGTAACACCTTTTGCATCGTGGCACTACCATGCACATTAACAGAAAGCATGCACCCTGCGTCAACTTGTCCGCTTTCCGTGGTCGAAGTCGCCACCTTGTTAGATATATAAGGCTGTCCTATCTATCCTCTTGTTCTTGATGAACGTGATTTTCGGAAGTTTTCTAATGACCTTTCATAGAAGGGCCAACTATTTTTCATGTGAATAATCAGCGTGTCTCAGTCGAATGGGGTCAACCTTAACTTTTGGCCGTTATCCTTGAAACGATCCAATCACCTACAATAATGTGCTCTGATAATACAAGTAATTGGGGCAGGCCATTTCACTTGCAGTAAGGGGCCATTTGCACTTACTGGGCATACCATACAACGGATTTCTGACGAGCCAAGACTATAAATAGCCTTGTAATAGAGGGTTTAGGGGTGCTAGAGGCTATCAAAACCTCCTCTTAATTGCAAATTTGTATGGGCGGGCCGGTCTGGCGGTCTTGCAATTTGCAGTTTGCAGTTATTATATGGTGAAATAATTCGGGCATGGCAAATGGCTTGCAATATGGGTGCTTTTGCAATAAGGGGGCCTTGCAGTATCAGGGCACATTACTGTATCCGGGATGGCACGGTAGAGTTACCTTTTCATTCAATTTGTTGTCTCTGTTAGATCTTTTGGGAGTCGGTTCAGTTGAATGCACGATCACAGAATTAGCGGGCAATAGAACAATTTCAATCCAAGATCCCCAGGGCCCTTGCCTACCACGCCAACATGAACAAACAGGGACTCTTTTTGGTCGACAGGTGCCGGGCCGGAAATGGATTGACGAGACATCAATCATTGCCCTTGTTGGCGTGACACCGAGCGGCCGAATGGTGGTGTCAGCCTGGAAATATAAAAGCAAGGCCCACTGCCACTCACTGTCACTCACCTAGAACGAATCCCAAACGCACGATACCGAAACCGCCCATTACCCGACATGAGTCCTTCAGGGCTTTCAGCTCCACGCAGCAGTGCTGGTTTCTGCTGCTGTTGCCACTATCCCTGACATCATCGTCGTCGAAAATCATCGATCAGCTGCCGGTTCAAAAGGTTTTCAGACAAAACCAATTTGAAAGGACAGTCTTTCCCCGGCTTGACATAAAAACGACAAGCCTTTCGTTCGACACCCAAGCGGAGCAATATTGAGGGGAGCCAAGTTGGGGGAGATGTCGCCAGTTTCATTTCCACACACACCACACAGCCACTTTCGGATAAATCCTCCCACACTCCTAAAGTTGTGAACGGCGCGCGGCGCTTGCCCAGGGCCCTGGGTCTTCAGGTGGCGCTCATCCTATTCCCCCGCATTTGGGACGTTCACAATCATCCCCCAACTCGACCCCCATGTGTCCACCCCGAGTCCTGTACAACATTTCGGAAGTCTGATCATGATAGCCCGGGCCTTTAACAAGGCCACGCAAGTGAGTTCCCAATAATGAAGATTTACTTACTAGTAGTGTAGCATCTCCTCTCCTCTTCCCTGCCATCCACGCTCTCTTCATATGAATCGATTTCGTCGGTGTCTAGCGCAGCCAATTACGCCACCCCGACCTGTGAATATGTAGCAACGGGCTGGCTGTCGCCATGCCGTACCGAGGGTCTCTAGAGATTGTGGTTGGTTGGTCAGGGCCTAAATAGCAACGTGCGTGCATCTGGGCTTTGAACAGGCTCGACATGGTGGTTGCTGACAGGCGGGCCAGGCCACCACCACCACCACCACCACGGTCACCACCACCCTCAACGGAAACTTAAGACAAGCGAGGCGAGATATGTTCTGAGGGGGTGGTGGTATTGCATCTGGTAACAGCGCGGGGAAGTTGATGAGATATCACCGTCTTGGTTGTAGGTATGAAATTGAGTTTTGACAATGTGAAAGAGGACGATCCCGTTTCACAAGAGGGGTTGTTATTGTTGTTGGATATAAATGGTTTCCATGTCCGGTTCAGATTTTGTCTGTTGCAGATATGCAGATATACAATGTGCGGGGTCATGCAAGACTTGAAAATTTAATCTTTGCTGCAGTAGGCAAGGCAGGCACGTAATTGCTGCGATAACCGTCTCTTTGCAAGACCAATGAAGGCTTCACCGTTTTTATTATTGTTGATTCTGCCCACCTTTATTATCAGTGGGAGATAACGTACCTATGTATGGATGAGCATCCAGGCTCGCCAGGGTTGTCGATATTTATACGTTTTACACAAAGAAATGATGGGCGCGGGCCAACGTGAAGGCGTGAAGGCGTTGACTTAAATACCTTAGGCACGTTCGGCTCCGATTCGGTTCCTGCGTACATGCTGCAATCCCTGCTGCGATTCGGAAGGAAGCGTGTTGGGCTTTGCGTGCAGATCAAGAAATCCCGACCTTTAACTTGAGCAAACCGCCAATACACTATAGAAAAGGAAGTTTAACCAAGTGTTGTGGCTTTGGAAATGTAGACCTCAGTAAGGTGCGGCGTGAACATGTTCACGACCAGAAAATGGAATGAATCATCGTGCGTCACAGTCTGTATGTAACAGCAAGATTACCGAAGGGCCAGTCAGCGCAGGAGCTTTTTGTGGTCCCTACAACTTGCGCGCCGAGGGTATTTTTCAGGAAATCTGTACTGATACGTACGGGCCCTCAGCTCGCACACTCAAAACGAGCGAATCTTTTCTTCGGACCTCAGTTGTCAGACGGTCTTTCCCCCTTGATGAATTGTGGCAAACTTGGCTTCAAGTAGTTCACCAGTCGAAGATTGAGTTTGAGGGAGTTATTTTCATTTGTTCGCCAGTTGCGCTGCCCTCTGCTGGGCGTGAAACTTGCACCTATGTAGTAAGTAGTTGAAAGAACGATGTTAGGAATAGGCCGCTATCACTCACCGTACGCCTCCATGCACTGACATCTTGGATTGAAGTTGGGGCGGTAGAAAACCTTCGGCCAGGGTTAGGGCTACAAGTGCTTCCTTTCTGCACTTCTACCAAAAAGAACACTTGACCCGACCCGAGGTTCTGGTGGGATTCGGTCACTGGCTCATGTCAGTCAGACTTGTTGTGTTCTCGTACCGCAATTCCCATCAGTTTGCATCTAGACAGGTTGACAAACGATGACTGATGCAGGAGGTAGACGGAAGAAGATGACCAAGCGTCGCGCTTAATCACCTCCTCATGGTGCAGGCATGGTGTACATTCACCACCGGTCAGGTTTCTCCCATGCCATGCCCACGTCTTCGATCTTCTTCGCAGCTGAGAAAAGGCATGACTCGGTGTTCTTTCCCAAAACTCTTCCATCGGGCCGGCGCAAGCGGGCCGCCTCGACGGGAGCGAGAACAGTCATGGCTCCCGTCTGCAAAGACGAAGCACCTCACTCAAAGTAAACTACATACATCAACTATCTCTACGTCCAATTTATTGCCACATGCGAGGAACTTATGTTGTCGATAAGAAACACTTTGTTGAAAATACCACCAGCAATTTCTTGGCTTATTTACTATTCTCCAGATTGTCGGTATCGAGTGTCGTCGTCTTCTCTGCAATTAAAGCATATTCTATGATTCTGATTGGCTTCTACTGCTTCGTGGTATCTCCGGTAGGGCAGTCGCTCGATTCCAACTTGGGGGTTGGTCAACCCTTTTTCTTTCTTTTTTTTCTTTTTTCTTGATTTAGTATATGTCCAAAGAACGAGAATGATGGATAGTTTGGCCCCCTACCTGCTCAGTCTGCAAAACTCTTTTGCGTTGTAATTCCGCTTAAACTCCCTCCATCAAGCATCGTGTCTAACCTGAAACCATATAACATGTACCAGTACACTCGTGACACACTATCACGTCTTGGGGACAGGTCCAGGGTCATCTAACATATCTAAGAGGCAAAAATGAGGAAGGAGTGAGAGATATATAGCATCAGTCTACCTAATATTCTACACACATAAACCCACAATGGCATGCCTTCCATCTTTTTCAGGCCCTGTTTCTTTTTATCTAGGAAGCTAGATCGATCAGGAAAAGCTGTTCTAGGATGAGTTAATCTCGAGTGGCACAAGGTCTTTAGATCCAAGGCCCAAGGCCAAGGGCTAGATCCATCCAGGTTCAGGGTCAGGTCAACAGGTCGACGTCAAGGTCTGGGATAAGCCAGTGCCCAAACAATGAGGGTGGTCTAAACACCAGACTCAACAACGACCATGGATGCTGGAGCAAGAAAAGGGATGGGTGTGAAAGAAAAGACAGACCTTCTTTGTCAGCTGGCTGCAGCTCAAGGGCAGCTCCAAGGCCCTCCTTGCGACTGGAATGGTTACCCGTTACACAACTCCACTACCAAACCGCCAGGATGTCGACGACACGACCATCATTAACCAAACGCGTTGTGGAGGGAGGGTGCCTACTAACCAGACCAGCCCTCCTGCAGTAACCTTAACGACATCAACTTCCGTGCGTGGGCCGCAAGTCCGGTATTGCAGCGATAACGAGGAGCAGAGGCGAAGGGAGGTACTGAAGAAGCACGACAGGAGCATGCAAGTGGTATCGAGTAATCGAGTAACCAAGCAGTGTCACGGAGCACAACTGGTACCATCCTGTGTGAAGGAGCGAAGCGCGACATTCGAGTGACGTACCACAGCGCAATATTGGAACCAAGGTGGAGGCAAAGAGGTACTTACTTAGGTGGCAGTTGACCAAGTTCGATGACAGTCGGAGAGAATGTAAGTCAAGGTCTGGTGAAAAATTGTCGGTGACCGAAGAGAACATGTCCGTTGCTGGGGCGGGGGAGCGAGTTGGATGATAAGGGGCACTTCGGAAAGTTCCTTCGAGAGGAGGCCTTGAAGAGAAAGGTGATTTCGTGTTCCGAGAGATGATGATTTGTATGCGTGCAGCATGGATGGTTAAGGTTAGGTAGATAGGGTGAGGGCGCTTGAAAGCTTAAACTGAACTCCAACGAGGCTGCACGAGCGCTACCGAACATTATCGAGCACTATCAACCTGAGACAGCACGGGAGCGGGACATGCCTAAAGAGTAAAACCCTAAAGGAATTGAAAGGAAGACACCTGACGATATGTCAACAAGCTGCGCAATCGAGGGATAGGGACGGAAGAGGGGGCTGTAGTATACTCAGCTTATGATAACCAAACGCCATTGCTATGCCTTGAAGCAAAGGAGAACGGAAAGCGGAGACGAGAGCAACAATGCAAAGGAGGGTGGCAGTCCAGCCCAGCCAGACAAAACGAGAACGATGGAGGCAAAAGAACAGAAAAGAAGAACCGATCAAATTAACCTAGCTTTTCGGGATATCGTCGCCGCCGTCAACAAGAAGAAAACTCCAAGGCTATGCTGCCCATTGTATGTACACTCCTCCTCGGTCCTCCATCCTCAAGACAGAAAGGACTTGACCTAACCCATCTCAACAGAACCCGCTCCTCCTCTATTCCCACCTCTTTTAGATACCACGGTTGAAAACAACCAAGCCATCCTGACCACCACGGCCCTTGAACTCGCCCTCCAACTTATCCGCCTCGATCTTCTGCATCTGGGGGAACGCCGCGAGGGCCAACGGCAACACAGCATAGCTGGTCACCAAGATCAGACCGAGGTTAATCGGGGTCGTGTACCTGGGGTTCCTCTTCAACCACTGGGTCGCCTGGAGCCTAACCAGGACAAGAGGGGGGATGACCATGATGGGACTGCTGTTCAACACTCTGCTGACGGCCGTCTCCGCCACGGCAATGGTCGCCGCCTTCTTGCTCTTGCCCAAGCTCTCGACATCTCCTTCGCCCTTGCCCTCGGCAACGAGCTTGGCCTTGTCGGCGGCCGACAAAACCGGGTACACATCGATACCCGTGCGCATCTCCTCGCCGCGCATGAGGAAGACGTTAAGGGCACCAGCCGAGGCGACGGCGGCGAAGGGAACCAGACGGCTGAGGATCAGGCGGGTCGAGGGCGTCAGAGACTTGAGACGCGGGACGACGCTGTTGAGACCAACGGCCACACCGCAGGAGGCGCCGACGGCGAGGAAATAGGACTGGGCAATCTTGGACCAGCTCAGGGGAGAAGACTTGTTGGCGTTGGAGTAGTTGATGGCAACGTTGAGGGACTGGTTGGCTACTTGCCAGGCGATAGTGCCGCGGTTCTGATTGCGGAAAGAGTTAGGAGGAGGAAGGCACAGAGAGATAAAGGTAAGGAGGAAAAAGAGGTAGGGGAGAGGGGAGATTATAACATACACCGAGGCCGGGGGTCAACATGCCAGCTGTTACGACCAAGTTGGAAAGGACGAAGCAGGACATGCGGAAAGGAAGGAAGACCTTTTCTCCAGTGTCTGTATGTCACAATTTGTGTAAGCCCGTGTGTCCTTTCTTCTTTGTTATGTGCTAACGTATCGGTATGTCGATGCTGCAGCGGCATGCGCCAGGGCGGGCATGTTGGTGATGCATACCGGGATGGAGGGTCGAGTCGACAAGCTTCTTGGCCTGCCACAACTCGGGAGTCATGGACTTGATCTGACCCTGCTTGTAGGAGACAAGCAGCTGCTTGGCTTGCTCGAGACCAGCATTGCCAACGAGAAGGGTCCTGAGAAGGTGGCGCGCGAGTTAGCAAGGTGTGTCTGCAGACTTCTGTCTTCTCTTTCCCCCTTCCTTATCCAGCCCTTCAATGCCCGTATGTCTGCGCCCACAAGAAGACGAGCATTGCGCCATGTCAGGCAGCGTACACGGCCCTTCCTCCTGCCCTGTCTTCCTCCCCCCTCTATCCTCATCCACAGTCTCAGTGCGGTTATGCTCACCTCGGATCGGTAAGGCCAGCGGTATGCCTGACGCGGCCCCAGTAGGTGCTCAAGTCATACTGCGAGTCGGGAAGAGCGCGCGCGCCGGGCAGGGAGGCGGACATGGTGATTGTTGCTCTGGGTCGGGTCGGAGATGGTGTTTTGTCGAGGAGTGTTTAGTGTAAACAGTGCGCTCTCCTCTTTGCGACAACAAGAGGGCTACACGATGTGTTTTTGTTTAACGGGCGGGTCGACGGCGACGATCTTGGAGCCGAACGAACAAACAAACAAACAAACAAACAAACAATAGCTTTACAACAAGCAAAGAGGAAAATGGGAAAGAAAAGAAGACAGAATTGGAAAGAAAAGGCAAAGCGGTGTATGACTCCTCCGGCTTGAAACACAAAACTATCCAAAACAAAAGAGAGAGGGCTTTGTTATCTTTCCCGTTCGGCTCTCCACGACCTGACTCCAGCGCGGCAAAAATAAAGCGGACCCCGATCTCGGGGATAGCCAGGTATCCCGGCCTCGATTCAGGACCCTGGAACGGGACCCCAGATGATGTGCCGTATCACTGTCCCGCCTTGCATTTTGTACTTGTGTATGGCTGACTGGGCGGAACTAGTGTGATGGGATGAAACGACAGACAGTCAGATAAAGTCTGGACATGGCGTTGTCCAGCAGCGCCATCGCAGGCAGGCAGGCCAGCTCATGTTGTTCATTGTCGACTTGACCAGACTCTCCAAAAATGGGGAATTGATGGAAAAGAATCCCTGTATCGGAATGCGGGGCCGGGCAAGATGTTGCGGCGGCCAGACGCGGTCCAAATCCCAGAACACTCCGAGTCAACGAGCCAATGCTGATAACTGATAAGGTTGTACATATAATCGGGATTGGGCTCTTCTGATTGGCTGCAACCCCAGTCGATGATGTACTTCCTTGGAATGCTTGGATGGGCGTACGCCAGCCCCGTCATCAGTTTCCACGACGGCGTCCAAATGCTTCAACTGTCCTCCCTTCCTCTTCTTTTGCTCCCGAGTCCGTTACAGACGACACTCGTGATTCCGAATTTGTTTGAAATGCTCGAGCATCCATTAGCGCCGTTATAAGCCTCGCTTGTTGAAGAAGACCACCACACAAACGTGCGATTACGAACCAATGTGAAAGTAAACAAAGAGCCTTGGACCATCAACATTTCCACTTCGATACTTGACCAACCCAGATAGGAATCCCAACACTATCACTTACACGGATAAACACCAAAAACAACCCCATATCGAACCCACATCAATGGCTCCCAACGACGGCCGACCTGGCCAGCCCTTCGACTTCGGCGCCTTTCTCCTTCGTCATCTTCCATTCTCCTCATCGACCACACCTCTACAAGCTCTGACCTACCTCCTGGGTATCTCCCTCTTCAGCATATCCTTCCTCGTCTTCCTCAACAGCAGCGTATCCTTTGTCATCACCGACCTGATCGGCGTCAAGCATGGCGTTGGTGACATTGTCGGCACTCTCGGCTTCGTCGATGAAATCGTCGCCTTGATCGCCTGCCCCATCTGGGGTTTGGTATCTGATCGTGTCGGTGTAAGAAATGTTGCCGTCACCGGCTATGCCATCATTGGACTTTCGCTGCTGGTGTTTGTTCAGGCGACGAATGTCTATCCGCAGTTGCTGTTGGCGAGGATTCTCTTTGCTGTTGGAGCCACTGCTGCGTAAGTAATACTCAATACCATCTTCCATGGACAACAGCTAATCATCGTGAAAAAAGGGCGACCATGGTTACGGCAATCCTCCCTTCCTTGACCGACGAGACCCAAGCGCAAACAGATGTTGTCGAGAACCCCCCTCTGAACCCGAGGCATAGCATGACGCCTTCGGTGGCATCTGAGGTTACCATTACCCCCGATCGGTTCCGCGATTACAGCACTTCCGAGTCTGGATTTAGATTCGACGGCACCCAAGGAAAACCCGAAGGACGTGGAAAGCCATCCGCTCTGGCCGGCTACGTAGGACTCTTCACAGGCTGTGGTGCTCTCGTTGCTCTCTCGCTCTTCCTACCCCTACCAGCACGGTTCGGACAAATCAAGGGCGTCACTCTCGGTCAAGCGGTCCAATACAGCTACTACGTCGTCGGCGTCATCTCCTTCCTCGTCGCCATCTTCGTTTTCTTCGGTCTCCGCGGTATCAAGGGTGAAGAAGGCAAAGGCTTCCGGACCCTCCTTGGACTCGACCAGCACCGAACCCACGACAACTCAGCCCCCTACTCCTCGAAGCAAGTTTCCCCCTACCTGCACCTCCTCCGCGACTCAATCCGCCTCGGACTCACCGACTCCGACATCGCCCTTGGCTACCTCGGCGGCTTCGTCGCCCGCGCCTCCACCGTTGCCATCTCGCTCTTCGTGCCTCTCTTCATCAACGCCTTCTTCATCCGCAACGGCTTCTGCCAAGGCTCGCCCAACGACCCTTCCCCTGAACTGAAGAAGGAGTGTCGTCAGGCTTACATCCTCTCATCCATCCTCACCGGCGTCGCCCAGCTGATGGGTCTGCTTTGCGCCCCTCTCTTTGGCTACCTCTCCAGCCGCAAGTTTACCAAGAAGAACAAGCTCAACTACCCCATTATCGTGGCCACCACCTTCGGCATTGCCGGCTACATCGCTTTCCCGCAACTGAGAAGCCCCGAGTACAAAGACAAGGATGGTCGGGGCGGAAGTCCCGCCATCTTCTTCCTTGCTGCGCTCATTGGAATCAGCCAGATCGGCGCCATCGTCTGCAGCTTGGGCTCGCTTGGTCGCGGTGTGCTGAAAGTGGATGTCATCAACACCATCTCACACCCTCACCGTGTGGACAGGGAGAGCGAGATTGCTACTATTACTGAGCCAGCAGATAGCCGGAACGAGACGGCTCCGCTGTTGGAAAATCCGGCAGCCTTACCGGAGGATACGGTCTCGAGAGTGAGGCTGAAGGGATCTGTGGCGGGTGTTTACTCGTGGTGCGGAGGCGCGGCGATCTTGTTGCTGACCAAGGCTGGCGGGTACGGGTTTGATGTGTGGAGCACGGGGGCGCCGTTTTATATGATGGCTGGGTTTAATGCGATTTTGCTCGTGGTAAGTCTGGGGATTGATGGGGGGAGGTTTGGGTTTAAGAGGAAGAGGGGAGGAACGATTATTTATGGACATCAGGTGCCGAGTGCGTTTTAAGTGCTGAGGGGGTTTTAAGGTTGTACGACTGTATGGAGATTGTGATGGAGATGGGGAGGAGAGATTGAGCTTGATTATTATGATGTATGATCTTTACTTTACAGCGGATACAAAATTGTTTATGGTTAAGCAAGATGTACGTAAAATTGATAAGTAACTGCAAGTATCATGATAATGTGAAAAAAAAAAAAAAAGAAAGAAGAAAAAGAAGAAGAAAAGCCACTGCTGTAGGTAGGTAGAGATCATAGGAGTGGACTTAAGGGCCTTTGGCTATCATTCGCTTCCTTCCGTACTTCCTCCCTCGCATAACAAAAAGCATAAGAAAGAAAGAAAAAAAGAGGAAAAGAAATGAAGAAGACAGACAGAGTAATCGAAAAAGAACCCCCAAACCAACCAAAACATGGGAACATCCAAACACCAACCCCCATCGCTTATCACCAACACAACTACGGCAACAACACCGAACACCAACATCCACCACTAGCTAATAACCTCCGGAACTGGGCAACGAAATTCCAAGCTTCGGCCAAGCCACGACCGCATAACCCCAAAGAAAACCTCAACATTCGATCCGACTCCATTACATGTAGGTACCGTACCGTGCCGTACCGTACGGTATACCATCCATCCCAAACTCGCAAAACTCCCGTCATGGGGAAGGGGGGGTACAAATCGGCTCTGCAAGCTTTTGAAGCCCCTCCCCTCCCCGCAATTGCAAGGTGTCCTATACCATATGACTACCCCTGTGCTGTGCACATGATGATGAATGGCTTCTTTCTCGCCTACTACCATAGATAGTGGAAGAAGCTTCGTTTGGGTACATGTATGATCGCTGTGTGGTGGGATTTTTGCTGGGTAAAGATCATTATTGTATCAAGGGTCCAACAGAGTATCTACAGAAATCTGGTGCTGCTTGATTTCTGGGGTACCGGGGAGTAAACGCGAACCGAACCTACCGAAAGTTTTTCCCGAGATTATTCTGTTGAGTTCGAGTCCCTTGAACCAAGGCATACAAAGAAACCGCTGAGTGGGCGGGTAGGTAGGAAGGTTATGGTAGCTAGTGGAGCTGAAGGGATATATACCCAGGGATTGGCATGGGAAAAGGTTGGTAGTCTAGCAGAGGTCAAGTTAGGGTAGGGCAGCTGTGTGTGTCATATGGATAGATGCTGTTAGCTGTGGTGGGATAAAGGAAAAAAAAGGAACATCAAGCTCGGAGTGGTCTATCTGGAGCTAGGTCATAATGAACGGGCGGTTAGTTAGTAAGAGACGCCGTGTTTGGAATATTTGGAGGGAATCGAACGTGGCCAAGTATCATGTTGATATCAGGGTCAGTAGTGGCCGTATTGGTTGTTCTCGAATAGCGGTGCAGTGAACACTTCAGTCACTTGTTAAATGGACATCAAGGTCAGCACAGCTGTGCACTAAACAACCGGAAAATTGCTTAGGAGGAAGAGTAACGGATCAATGTTAGTTTGTGTCTTTGACAGAGGAATCCAAAACACTCGTTTTGATATTGCTGCTGCTGTCTGATGCCCTCTGCCATATGCCACTGTCATGCCATATTGGGTTGCTAATCCAAGACTGGTCCGTCTTATGCCCATTCTCAACGACCTTGCCATAGGCCGAGCTTTGTCATGGTGCCAACCAAGACTATAGCGTATGTGGCTTCTTGCCCTCCAGATGGTTGCCATCCCATTCATTGCCCGCTGTTGATCCTGCTGAAAATGAGACACACATCCTAGGTATAAATATTAAATGCGGGTGAAGCAGATGCGGTGAGAAACTAAAGTCATATGAGCGCGCAATGTCAACTTTCGAGCTTGAACCTTTTTACTTTGTTCGATTTTGCGGTAAAGTGGTGGACAGATAGGAAAAACCTCTTTCACGGTTCCGGTGTTAACTTGAAACCACTTTGCCGCTAAAGGTGAATGCAACCAAACAGATGAACACCGACCCCATGCTGGCTGCAGTTTTGTTTTATCCCAAATATTCCTCCGCCATCCTAATTCTGACATTGCCGCCTTCGAAGAGAGAAAAGGGGGGGCCGTGTGACTGAACAGTCTGGTTTCGATGTATGGTCGTTATGCCGTTGCGAGAAGGCATTTAGTTGCCGAGGCTGGGGAAGGCAGACTCATCGTTGGGGTTGATGGAAGCAGCCTTGTTCTCAGAGCGGGGAGCACCGCCACGGGCAGCGCCGCCACGGGGGACCACCGCGGGGACCGCCACGGCCAC